AAGCCTTGTGAGGCAGCTCTAAGAATTCCAACATCTAAAACTTCTAAATAAGCCTCCATGTGGATTTTTCAATAAGAAAAATCATCTCCCTCAAAGATAGGAGGAGGTCCAGCCCCGTGGGACATCTTTCTCTAGGCGATTAAGCCTAATTTAGCGAGCACAAGGCTCTGATACCAAATGAAAGGATCAAGATACCTAAGAGGAAAGGTGAATTGGGCTAATTCTAAATTCTTTGTAATAATTAAGCCCTACACTTAGCTCACTTCACCCCTTGTGCCTAGAATATGTTTCTATTGTTCTACCGCATAAAAGTTTAGCACCCTAAATTTCAATCCTACTCTAGCATGGCAATTCTAGGAATGTAAAGACAAGAAATGAATTGCTCAAATGTAAATGCTTAAAGTAAAGAGAGGGAAGGGAATGCGGCGATGTTTTTCCGAGGTATAAGAGAGTCGCCACTCTCCACTAGTCCTCGTTGGAGCACTCGTGCAAGGGTGTAGCTCCCTCTTGATCCGTGCAAGGATCAAGTGCTCTCTACGGACTGATTCTTTGACACTCCATCGTGGTGAATCGCCCACAACTGCTCACAACTTGAGTTGGGTCATCCACAAGCTCCGCCAGATGATCACCAAGCTCTCAATCACCACCGATCCGTCTAGGTGATGGCGATCATCAAGAGTAACAAGCACAAACTCTCACTTAACCACGACAAGCCTAATGAGAAGGATTGATGCACACTTGCTACTCTCCTTGCGCTAATAAGGACCTTAATCTTAGATTCTCAAATCTCAATCATCTCACTAAGCTCTTGCTCTTCTTTGCACTCTTAAGAGTGTTTCTCAGCTGAATAAATGGATAAGAGACCTCCCTTGGACGAGTGGAGTAAGTATTTATACCCCCTCATTCAAAACATAACGTTTCAAGGTTGAGTCATCACTCTACGGGGTGACCGAACGCTCCGGTCCGTTATCCCCGCCACTATGTCAGAAAGAGCCGTTAAGTTCTGATCGGACTCTGACCTGCGTCCGGTCAACACTGACCGGACGGGTCCAGTCAAGAAAAACTCTCTCTGGAATCTTACTGATGTTGACCGGACGCTGGCACCAAGAGTCCGGGCACTTCCCTGTTCAGCGTCCGGTCAGTTACCGGATCCTGACCAGCGTCCCGTCAACACTGATCGGACGCGTCCGGTCAAGAAAATCCCTCTCTGGAACCTCTTTGGAGTTGACCAGACGCAGACACCCAGCGTCCGATCACTTTTCACTCAGCATCCGGTCGCAACCAGACGACTTCAGTTGATCAAATGAACTGACCAGACTCACTCTCCAGCGTCCGGTCACAACCAGACCAGCATCTGGTTAGTTATTTGACCATCCATTCACTTCCAACTCGAAATCCTATGTGAATGAAGTTTACTCCAATTGATCTTAGAGCTACTCCTGAGCTACCTAGCGCTAGATTTGACAAGTGTGCACCACACCTAACCCAATAGACTCACATAGGTCAAGCTACTAGTCCATACCCCCCTTAATAGTACGGCCAAAGGAAAAACAAAGTCTTAAACTGCTCTAAGTGTCTCTTCAACACCAAACGACACTTAGAACTAGTCAATACTTAACCTTATCGTTCATCCTTTGAAAACCGAAACGATTTCCATCGATAGGGGCATGACAACCATGATTGCCCAATCAATTTCCATTACCATGACCTAACTCAAATTGCCTCTGCAAAACACACTCGTTAGTCATAGTAATCTCGTGTCGTTATTAAACACCGAAACCCAACTAGGGGCCTAGATGCTTTCAGGCTGCGTCCTAGGTCGCCGCGCAACGTAGCCCGATCTAACTTTGTAGGCTTCATCAGGGCAGGGAAGTTGCAGATCCTAGTAGATACAATACTTGAAGAGGTAGACACGGAAGGGCATAGTCAGATTTGGAGGAAGGTGTGAGATCGTAGACGGAGATGGCAGCGGAAGGGATGAGGACAGAGTTCTCCAGCCACTCATGCAAAGGGATACGAGAGGCTGAGGATCGAGATTTTTTATTTCATCGTGAGACCCACTGCTATAGACGGGTTCATCCGGATACATTGTGGCTTGAAATTTAACTACTGCCACCTTCTGTGGGACCCGCTCCTATGGACTGGTTCACCCATATACAAAGAGAAATATCCAGTGCAGAACGTTTAGACACGTGCCTAAAAAATAGTTGAGAAGGACATCTCCACCGACCCAGCTGCTAACGAGTGTAGGCAAGGCAACGCATTGCGTGTGTGACGGCCGTCGCTTGCCACGCCGATTCCACATATCCGATCAGGAGCTGGGTAGACGAACGAGATACGCAGCTCGGCCGTCGGAATGTGATGGGCCGCGACCGGAATCACACGCTATGCTTTTGGTCAAAGCCCTCAAAGCGACGCGAGGAGGGCAGGCAGGAGGGGACAAGTATCGCGCGCCTGGCCCACGAAATAGAAGCTGTGGGAAAAGAGAGGAGCACAGAGGCGGTGCGGCGGGAACCGGAGGGCCAGGCCAGCCAGCCGCAGAGCCACTCGCACCGTGTCGTTCCACAAAAGCCACCCGAACCGGCGAACGGCGACGCAATCTTTGCTTCTCGGGGTCGTGCGCTCGGGGCCCTGCTTGCCTCGGTGACGCCGAACTCCTCCGGCTCTGGTCCCGTCCTGTCCTTCGTCGATAGCTAGTACCACAGTAGGTACCTAGTCCACCCGATTCGGCGGCGTTTAAATTCAGGAAATAAAGTCTAGTATATCACAATAGATGTCACATTATGGTTTACATGAAAGTGTTTAGATAGTAATAATAAAATAAAATAAAATATATAAGTTTTTTTTAATCTATGAGACGAATTTATTAAGCCTAATTAATCTGTTATTAGCATATGTTACTGTAGCGCCACATTGCCAAATCATGAACTAATTAGGCTAAAAATTTTGTCTCGCAAATTAGTCGCAGTATGTACAATTAATTATTTTTTAATCTATATTTAATACTCTATACATATGTCAAATATTCGATATGATAAGAGGAAAAACTAAACCAGACCTAATCGAAACCAAGAAACGGACTCCTAGACGAATCGAAGGGACAAAAGTAGGTGGATAATGCTGCTCGCTTTTGGAAATTTCGTCAGATTCTGACGATGAAATTCGTTCTCCCAACCGGGAATTTTCTTGCGTCTTAAAAGGTACTCACTCGTTCCCTTAAATTTGATCAATTATAGATAAAGAAATATCAATATTTATGATATTAAATAAATATTATTAGATTAATTATGAAATATATTTTTATAATAAATTATTTTGAATCCGTAAATGTGAATAGTATTTACTAGAAATTTGATAAACATGAATTATTTTTGTTGGCACGCAACATGTAGTTGCATCATTTTTTAGACGGAGGGAGTAGATTAAGGTGGTGTTTGGATCATTAGCCCAAGGACTAAAGTTTAGCCCCTAAACTTTAGTCCTGCCAGGCTATTTGGATCCCTGAGCTAAACTTTAGTCCTCTAATCTACGATGACTGATTTACCCTCATTTAATTATCCATCCACAGCCATGCATGTGAGCGGCAAGGAGTATGGGGTGTCCAGCACTCGCCCCGAGGGAGTTTAGCCCAGTTTAGGATCTCTTTGGGAGCAAAAGATTTTAACTTAATTTTTAAGCATTTACTCACTTTTAGCCTTTTGTTTGGATTCCCATGGAAAAAAAGGCTAAAAATATAGGGTTAAAGTTTTACCACATGCCTACCTAAATGGCCTCTCCCTTATGCGTTCCGCCAGAACGAAACAGTGGACAAGTCGTGGCGGTTTGATACCAACCAGCACCATGCTTTGCCCATTGACGCCGGCGAAGAGCTTTGTTGAGCTACGAAGGATAGCTAAGTCTGTTGCCAAAAACAAAAGGAAATATAAAATAAGGTAACTGATAACTTGCCGACGATATCAAGTCCTCCCAAGTCACTGACAGTTGGTTATTATTATAGCACCTATCAACTAGGGCCTTGTTTAGATTTTAAGTTTTTTCACTCTCTCTCTATCACATTAAATTTTGGACACATATATGGAGTATTAAATATAAATAAAAAAAATAACTAATTATATAGTTTGATTGTAAATTACGAGATGAATCTTTTGAACCTAGTTAGACCATAATTGAACAATAATTATCAAATACAAATAAAAATACTACAGTGATCAAATACTAATTCCTAACCGTGGACTCAACAAGGCCTAGTAGAGTATTATCTGCCAGCATCCAGGCCGTGTGATCCGCTGGTTTTCCACAAAAGAATTTTTTTTTTTTTTTGACAAAACGGGCGGACGGCACGGCCCGGCCAGGCCTGCCTTGGAGTTGGAGTTGGAGACCGCGTGGCGTGCGTGTGCGGTGTGCCCTAACGCCGTGGCCGTCAAAAGGGACGGCGCCAGGGCTTCTGGTCCTATCCGGTGGAGGGCTCTTCCGCGTCGCGTCCCAGAGAGGCAGGCCATTAAAATCGGCCGCCCCCGTCAACCATCCCTTCCCCTTTCCCAACCTCCCATCCCATCCCACCCCCTCATGTCGTCGCCTTCCTCCCCGCGCTCTTGCCCCCGCATCTCCTCGCTCCCCACCACGCCCTCGCAGGCTCATCTCTGATGATGGAGGTAACAGTCGGCTAGCACACCGCACCGCCGTGCGTCCCTCTCTGTTGCCCGTCCCTTCATTCCCAGTTTAGAACAGTTTGTTGTTTCGGTTTCTTCGTTCCATCGAGCGCGGCATTCTGTGGGTCTTGTGGATTTGGCCCGGGGGAGGAGGAGGCTGGTCAAAGATTTCTGGTGGAATTGATGGTGGGGTTCATGGAATGGGTGCATGACTGGTTGCTGTGGGATGCCTTCTTGGAGTGCGGAGGGATCATGAGGCCACCGATTAGATAGCGGCTGGGGAGCGAGGGACCACAGGAGGCGGAGGCCGCCGTTAGCACCCCCACCACCCCGCGGCGCGAGTCAGCAGCCATGGGGGAAGACCTCGTCACCACCCTGTCCATGGAGAACGGCGGCGGCGGCCACCACGGCCCCTGCACGCTCCTCTCCATGGACCCGTCCGGCCACCTCTCCGCGCCGGACGACCGCGCCGTGGGCGTCATGGTGCAGGCCCTCATCAGAGGGGGCGTTGGCGTCGGCGCCCGCGCCCACGCCGTGTCGCCCTCCGGCGCGCCTCCGCCCGACATCAACCAGCCCTGGCAGACGGACCTCTGCGACATGCTGGACGTCGGCCTCGGCCCGCAGGTCTACAGCGCCGAGGCCGTGCTCAGCTGCGCTCCCAAGGCCGGGAGCCGGAAGGCCGCCAAGCGCGGGGACACCATCTGGGGCGCCTGGTTCTTCTTCACCTTCTATTTCAAGCCCCTGCTGTCCGACAAGTGCAAGGACAAGGTCGTCCGGGACAACAGCGGCGTCTCGGGGTTCGACAAGTCGGACCTCCGCCTGGACATGTTCCTGGTGCAGCACGACATGGAGAACATGTACATGTGGGTGTTCAAGGAGCGCCCGGAGAATGCTCTGGGGAAGATGCAGCTGAGGAGCTACATGAACGGGCACTCCAGGCCTGGTGAGACGCAGTTCCCATTCAGTGTCGACAGGGGATTCGTGCGATCGCACCGGATGCAGCGTAAGCACTACCGGGGGCTGTCAAACCCGCAATGTATCCATGGGATTGAGGTGGTCAGGTCACCAAATCTTGCGGGGCTCACTGAGGCAGATCTTAGGAGGTGGGCAGAGCTTACAGGGAGGGAGCTCAATTTCATCATCCCGCAGGAAGCCAGTGATTTTGGGACATGGAGGACCATTCCAAACTCAGAGCTTGAGCTTGAGAAGCCACACCCAGTCATGAAGAGCAACGGTACCCAAAACCCGAAGAAGGCAGGCTTGAATTTGTCATCAGCGTCCAATCATTCAGGCGAAGATGGTATGGATCTCTCCCCAGTTAGCAGCAAGCGTAGGAAGGAATTATCCCCACAAGCCATGGATGAGGAAGTATTCTTCCCACTGAATTCTTGCCCTCAGAAGACACAACAAGATGTGGAGATGCATTCACCAGCGCAACCTGCTTGGCTCCATGAGTTTGCTGGGGTGATGAGAAACGCTTGTGGGCCAGTGACTGCTGCCAAGTCTATCTATGAGGATGACCAGGGCTACTTAATAATGGTCAGCTTGCCATTTGTTGATCAGCAGAGGGTGAAGGTTTCATGGAGGAACACTCTGACTCATGGCATTGTGAAGATCGTTTGTGTTAGTACTGCTAGGATGCAACATATAAAGAGACATGGCAGGATGTTCACGCTTGCCGATCCTTCCCCCGAGCACTGCCCTCCCGGGGATTTCATTCGTGAAATACCTCTAGCTACTCGTATCCCTGAAGATGCTAAGCTGGAGGCATGTTTTGATGAGGCTGCCTCAGTGCTTGAGATCATGGTCCCAAAACGAGGAAATGAACCTGAAGAACATGAAGTTAGGGTCTCTCTGCGACCCCCTCACTTTGGAGCTAATGATCTACTTTTGACCTAAGTTGAGTAAGGTCTCTGCACCATGTTCCGTCTTGTTTGTAACCCCAGATTAATGCCAAATTTAGCTGAGAATCAAGGTTCCAGTATGCTTGTTCTCTGCCTAATATTTTCAGTACATGTGCCATACTAAGAAGGGCGGGCCTGGTGCAAGCTGTAGAGTCTTACCGCCTGTGACCGGAAGGTCCCGGGTTCGAGTCGCGATCTCCTCGCATTGCACAGGCGAGGGTAAGGTTTGCTACTGACACCCTTCCCTAGACCCTGCACAGAGCGGGAGCTCTCTGCACTGGGTACGCCCGACCTGTGCCATACTAAGTCTCTTCAGCAACAAAGACTTGGCTGAGGACTAGTTTGTTCTAGCTTTTGTGCTGTGGGTGTCTTTTTAACCCTCATGTTTAGATTTTGTACTAAGTTCTATTAAAGAAAATAATATTCTGAGTTGTCACTTGTTTGATTGTTGGATTGTGATTATCTGTTTGTACCAGTTTCTTGTCTCTACCGTCCAAAATTTACACTGTATCGCTTGATTCACTTCAGTTATGAAGGGAAAAACAACAGGGGATTGAATATTTCATCAAACACCTCAGACACAGGTGTTCCTTTTTTTGTAAGCAGAGATACAAGTAGTAGCAGAGAAGAGAGATTGTGGTGCTCTGTTCCTTTTTTGTAAGCAGAGAAACTAGTCGTAGCAGAGAAGAGAGATTGCGATGCTGAGTGAACAAAAACCTATGTCTATTTATATAGGTTGCAGAGATGAATGCAGCTAGCCAGCTAATACTGAGCCTTCACTATAAACTCAAAACTTGTGCATACTGTGAATCAGCTGCAACGTTTCCAATGTGAGCTTGCCCCTTTGCAAACGGTATTGCTCTTGAAGCATTTCTCAGGTGCAGCTATATAACCCAGATAAATGTGAAATGAACTGATGATTGTAGCCTTGTAAGTACCTCTGATGGTACTTGATCTCTGGTGCACTAGGTGTCCTTTTAACCCTCTTGTTCTACAGTTGTGGTGGCATCCCTGGTCTGAGTTTATTACTTCATTCTTGTATCTTGGATTCTGATTATAGTACCAATTTGTATCATCCGAGTTTTATACTGCTATTTGCCGTAAAGACTGATCCTAAGTATAGGCCATTTTAGTTTTTCTAGATATATAGTTTTTATTATACAATAATAAGTTTTTATTATACAATAATAAAAACTTAACCTATGTCTAGGTGCACATATTACTATATTATTGCCCTGTTCGTTTGCTGATAAGTTATGACTGAAAGTACTGTTGGCTAATTTGTTGTGAGAGAAAAATATTGTTTGTCGACCGTAAAAAAATACAACTTATAAGTTAAACTAACATGCCGTACATCTAGAAAACTATAGGCGTTCAAAACGAACTGAGACGAGGCTCTGCAGCTCTTCGCTCCAGATGAGTTCTGCTGGATTCACGCAGGTGTGAAAAGTTGACCAAACATCTTAGACAGGATAACAGGCCATCTTTGGAAACAAAGATAAACAGTAACACATCACAGGCCATCCCTTTGAAAACAACGATAAACAGTACACACATCCATTTGAAACAATGATAAACAGTACTCAGTTTTAAGCAAGTTCTCATCACAGTAGATATAGCGAGGTAGACTTGTATCTTCTTGGGATCCAGAAACCAAATCACGCTGAATATGGCCATGCGCAGAATTTCAAACGCTGCTGCATTGCTTGTCCTATGTAAACCACCATGCAAACTATTCATCTCTTTTCTCCTTTTTTTTATTCATTCTATTCTATAGAACTGAATTTGGCGTCCTAAGCAAACTATTCATCTCTTTTCTTCTCTCCTTTTTTTTTATTCATTCTATTCTATACGACTGAATTCGGAATTTGGCGTCCTAAGCACTTAATTCTCTTCGTACAGCTCTCGTTAGCATGGCAAGAGAACAAATGTTTAACATGAAAGGCAACGATATGAACAACTCGAAGGCGATCAACACATGACTTAAGAAAACAAATTAGGAACGGAAACTTATTTCTGAAAAGCTTGACCACAGTCCACAGATACTGGAACACCACCACTTCTAAGATCACTCCATCTCACAAACCACCTTCAGAGTTCAGATGTACTAGTAGTTCACACCTCACCAAACCAAACCTCGGACACTAACCAACCTAATCGACTTCCTCGATCTTGGGACCAGCACCACTCCCACCAGACGGGGCGTCCTCATCCATGCCAGCAGCATCGCCCATGCCCGCGCCAGCGCCCTGGTACATCTTCGCGATGATGGGGTTGCAGATCCCCTCAAGCTCCTTCATCTTGTCTTCGAACTCGTCGACCTCAGCCAGCTGGTTGCTGTCCAGCCAGCTGATAGCACTATCGACGGCGTCCTCAATCTTCTTCTTGTCCTCCGCCGGGAGCTTGGAGGCGATCTTGTCATCCTTGATGGTGTTCCTCATGTTGTAGGCGTAGTTCTCGAGCGTGTTCTTGGCGTCCACCTTCTTCTTGACCTCCTCGTCCTCGGCCTTGTACTTCTCAGCCTCCTGCACCATCTTCTCAATCTCCTCCTTGCTAAGCCTGCCCTTGTCGTTGGTGATCGTGATCTTGTTCTTCTGGCCAGTGGTCTTGTCCTCGGCAGAGACGTTGAGGATGCCGTTGGCGTCGATGTCGAAGGTGACCGTGATCTGGGGCACGCCGCGGGAGCAGGAGGGATGCCGGAGAGCTCGAACTTGCCGAGGAGGTTGTTGTCCTTGGTCCTCGCGCGCTCACCCTCGTACACCTGGATCAGGACGCCCGGCTGGTTGTCGGAGTACGTGGAGAAGACCTGCTCCTTCTTGGTCGGGATGGTGGTGTTCCTCGGGATGAGGACCGTCATGACGCCACCTGCAGTCTCCAGGCCGAGTGACAGTGGCGTTACGTCGAGCAGGAGCAGGTCTTGCACCTTCTCGTTGCCCTCGCCGCTGAGGATGGCGGCCTGGACAGCCGCGCCGTACGCCACAGCCTCATCGGGGTTGATGCTCTTGCACAGCTCCTTGCCGTTGAAGAAGTCCTGCAGCAGCTGCTGCACCTTGGGGATGCGGGTCGAGCCACCTACGAGCACGACGTCGTGCACGCTGCTCTTGTCCATCTTGGCGTCGCGCAGGCACTTCTCCACAGGTTCCATGCACTTTCGGAACAGGTCCATGTTGAGCTCCTCGAAGCGAGCCCTGGTGATCGTGGTGTAGAAGTCGATGCCCTCGAACAGGGAGTCGATCTCAATAGTCGTCTGGGCCGTCGATGACAGCGTGCGCTTGGCGCGCTCGCACGCCGTGCGCAGCCGGCGCAGTGCACGGGGGTTGCCGCTGAGGTCCTTCTTATGCTTGCGCTTGAACTCTTGGACGAAGTGGTTCACCATGCGATTGTCGAAGTCCTCACCTCCAAGGTGAGTGTCACCTGCAGTGGCCTTCACCTCGAAGATGCCCTCCTCGATGGTGAGGAGCGACACATCAAACGTGCCACCACCAAGGTCGAAGATGAGCACGTTCTTCTCGCCAGAGCTGGTGGCCTTCTTGTCAAGGCCGTAGGCAATAGCAGCGGCAGTAGGCTCGTTGATGATACGCAACACATTGAGGCCCGCAATGACACCGGCGTCCTTGGTGGCCTGCCTCTGCGAGTCGTTGAAGTAGGCCGGCACCGTCACCACTGCGTTCTTGATCGTAGAGCCGAGGTAGGCTTCGGCAATCTCCCTCATCTTGATGAGCACCATGGAGGAGATCTCTTCTGCAGCGAACTGCTTCTCCTCACCCTTGTAGTTGACTACAATCATGGGCTTGTCACCAGGGCCTGGGATGACCTTGAACGGCCATAGCTTCATGTCACTCTGCACTGACGGGTCAGAGAACCTCCTGCCGATCAACCGCTTGGCATCTGCATTACAATGAAATGAGCAAGTAACAGTGGTCAACAATAGGGAGGAGGCATCGAGCAAGATATCTTCCAATCAGTTCCAACTAATTATGGGCATTATAACAAAAAAAAAAACAGGGGAGAGCTACAATATGTTAAAAAAAAGCATCCTAATAGAAGGCAAGCAGAGCAACAAAAATATTATAGCAAGGGAACTTTTCTTCTTTATTTTGTCAGAACAAATGAGCAGGGCAATGCATCAAAATACTGTCAATTACTTATTTCTTCAGGCAACAATATTTACAACAACGCCACTTCACCTTAACTTCGCCACAACAAACGAACAGGGATGAACATCAAAATTACGTGAATTATTATATTTATTTCTTCAGGCATTAACAATTTTTAACAGCACAAAAACAACTGATCAGAAGTATCTAATTTTGGCAAATAATAAGCTCTGCAGACGAACCAATTATAGTATTCACCTGTAGGTGAATATCTATACTATTCAGTATTCACCTAGTATGAAACCCTATCGCGAATTTAACAGCAAACTTCTGAATCTAAGTGCTCTATGACAGAAACAGGTGCTTAAATAAATACCACTAAGCACCAAAATTACACGTTTCTCAGATTTTTGTGTAGGTTCTATCTTCGTACTACCATGTTCCTATTTTTGTTGCTAAAGCACGGTAATTAATCAGCACAAAGAGAACACGATTTCAGAGTTTAATCTGTAGATCCAGCTAAACCCACTCGCGCAAACAAGAGGCTCCAAGCATTCCAGAGAAACGTGTACCAACAAAGGCAGAGGGAGGAGCGAGCACGTACCGAAGACAGTGTTGGTGGGGTTCATGGCGACCTGGTTCTTGGCGGCGTCGCCGATGAGCCGCTCGGTGTCGGTGAAGGCGACATAGGACGGCGTGGTGCGGTTGCCCTGGTCGTTGGCGATGATCTCCACCCGGTCGTGCTGCCACACGCCGACGCACGAGTAGGTGGTGCCGAGATCGATCCCGATCGCCGGACCCTCGCTCTTCGCCATTGCCACCAGAGAATCGCTCTCTCGAACGAAAGAAGGAATCAAAACTAGTAGCGGAACTCGAGATCTGGAGAAAACGGAGAGAATTTGGATCGCTTGCTTTGCTTTTGCAACGATAGCTGGGGAAGGGAGGGGGCAGGGCGTGGGGTTTTATCGGGGGGTGACGTGGTTTCGAGAACGTTCCAGCGCGGCGGAGACCAACCGTTGGATTCAGATCGGAGGGGCATTCGAGAAGGGTCTGGAGGGGGCTGTGCGGAAGACGGGCTAGGGGCGTGACAAGTGGGCACACGTCGGCGAACTACCCCTGACTGGGGCGCTGGCCACTGGGCCCGGGGAAACTCCGGTCTTTGGTCGCGTGATTGAATCACCTCTAGTTCATGGCTCGATGGCGGTTCGGCGGTCGGGGGCCGGGCCGAGGTATGGCGCAGGTTTATCACGGAAACTCTGCTAGGCTGCCCCACACAGCACACCGATAATCTGTGTTGTTATCTTCAAAGGTGAGATAGGCAACATGTGACGTGCGTCTCTACGAAGAAGCGAGATGTTTGACTATGAGAGAATTTGTACACCCGTCTGTTTTTTTTTCGTTCGTTTCACTGAAATTTAATTTATGCTGATTTGTAGTGAGAGAAAAACAATATTCGTTTGCTGAAAAGTACTACTAAAGTAGTGCCGCAGAACAGATTATATATATAAGAGTACCAAGTTAAATATAATTCTTGGTATATGAAAAAGGTAGTTTTAATAATTTTCTCCTAATGTCTGTATATTCTTTCGAATTCCCTCCATCTTAACATATATGAGAATTTAAGTTATCCTAAACGAAATTATAATAGTTTGAACAGTTTTATTTAAAAGTGTATATTTATTGCACTAAATTAGTATCGCTAGATACATATATATATGAAAAGTACATTTTTGTAATTTATTTTTTAATGTGGTAATGTTAATACTTTTCTTTATAACTTACTCCCTCCATCCTAATATATAAGGAGTCTCACTTTTTATTCATTCCCATAATATAAGACATGCTCTCTCTAAATATACGTACATAGATAGATAAGGTCGTGTGTGGTGATATGTAAATTGCATGTTTTGTTTTTCTTTTATGAGCCCTACCCAAAAGCTTATTTCCATCTCGCGTCTCCATTGTTCTTAGGACATGTGTAATGTTCGTTTGGTTTATAAGCCGTATTTTTGATCAATAAATAGTATTTTTCTCTCACAACAAATCAGTCAACAATACTTTCAGTTATGGCTTATCAGCCAAGCGAATAGGGCAATGATTTAAACCACATTATCACATTCTTTTTGGGACGGAGAGAATACGTTTCTGGATCTTTAAACAAAATATGGTTACATCTTGTATACTGGGACGGAGGGTAGTACAGTCTAAAATAGTTTGACTCAAGATAACTTAAAACCAAACAGAAGGATTAATGGTTTTCTTCTTAAACAAACCTGCTTTCATAGCAGTTTGTTTCTAGTCATCTAACTCGAAAAATTGTCTTTCGGGAAAAATAAGTTGCAATTCAGTTAACTATCTGGAGGTTCCTGTTTAAAATTGACCCTCGCGTCTTTCCATTCGATGCGAGGTTTCTGCCTAGTCAACATGCCACGACACGGCATGTTCAGGCCTTCCGGATGTGCTTGGCTGAACAAAGGGCAAACGGATGTTCGGGGCAACCGCCGTCCCAAGTGAGAGGTGGCGAGAAAAGAGAGCAGTTTGTTTCCGGTCATCTAAAAAGAGAGAGAGAGCGCACTTAAAAGGCGAAACGGAGGGGGGGCAGAGAGGGCACACCGGGTTTGTCTCATCATGGCGGTCTGGGCTCTCGGAGAGAGGGAAGCCGGAGAGAGAGAGCACAGGGTAGCGGAGGGGGGCAGGGCACTGGGCGGCGGCGCTCGGCATGGAGGCGGGGCTCGCAGCTGACAAGGCAAGATCCTGCCGGCCATGGCGGCGGCTTCTGGCGACGGCGGCCGCGCAGAGAGAAGGCGGCTACGAGCGGGCACGGCGTTCCTACGGCCTCGTCGCGTAGGGCTCCATGGCCCGTGCAGCTCGGCAAAGCAGAGCGGAGTCGGGTGAGCGACCTCCTGCGGTGCTCGACTTCAGTGCGATGGCGAGTAGTGGCTAGCCCGTTCTACGACGACTGCGGCGAGCGTGGCTCCGGCGGCTTCTTCGAAGGGCCGTGGACCAAGGTGGCCTTCGGGTCCGGCGGTGCTCAGCCGATTCGGGCTGGCGGGAGGTCGGTGGCGGTCTCCGACGAGCCGAGGCAGAGCTCTGCTATGGGGCTGGCCACGACAGCAGACTGAGGGCGGCGGCGGCTGCCCGAGGTGGAAGCCAAGAGAGGAGGGGCGCTCTGTCGTTCCTTGCTCACGTACGGGCACACCAAGAGCGCCATGTGCTCCGTTGCGCTCCTCCTCGGTGTCGCGGAACCGGCCACCTCTGCTGCCGCCTCGGTCCAGGGCGGTGTCTCTGCTGCCGTAGCCACGTAGGTGGTGTGGACCTCGGTCGACGTCGTCAGCCGGAAGATCCTACTCATGGACGGCGTGCGCGGCCTGTACCGCGGCCTCGATGTCTCGGTGCTGACCTACGCGCCCTCCAGCGGCACGGGGAGGAGGGCCACGGTTGAACCTCCTTGGCGTTGAGGCGGGTCGGCGCGGGGAGACGCGCGAGCCGGGCGTGGAGCGGCCACGGTCGGACCTCCATGACGTCGAGCGGCCACGCACGGGGAGGCAGGCGTCGAGCGGCCACAACCGGAGCTCCACGACGTCGAGCAGCTACGCGGGGAGGGCGGGCGTCGAGGCCACGACCGGACCTCCACGGCGTCCAGCGGCCACAGCCGGAGCTCCATGGCATCGAGCAGCCGTGCGGGGAGGGCGGGCGTCGATGCGCTTCCAATTCCTGTTCCAGCGGCAGCTCGAACTCAGCACTGCGTGCGACATCGGCATCGGCGCAGTAGGATCCTGCAGCCGTGGATGAGGAGCTGCTACGCGGGGAGCTCGTCGTCGGTAGCCGGGAGGTGAGCGCACGGGATGTTGAAAACTCTAGTTTGGTTTTGGTGAATTGATGAAACCCTAAGTGCTAACCTAGTTTATCAAGTGATCATGAGATAGGTAACACATTCCAAGTGGTGAAGCAAATGAAGATCATGACATGATAATGGTGATGCCATGGTGATGATCAAGTGCTTGGACTTGAAAAGAAGAAAGAGAAAAACAAAAGGCTCAAGGCAAAGGTATAAATGGTAGGAGCTATTTTGTTTTGGTGATCGAGACACTTAGCGAGTGTGATCACATTTAGGATCGATAGCCGTACTATTAAAAGGGGTGAAATTCGTATCGGAATGCGGTTATCAAAGTACCACTAGATGCTCTAACTCAATGCATATGTATTTATGATCTAGTGGAGTGCTAACACCCTTTAAAATATTTATGAAAATATGCTAACACATGTGCACAAAGTGATACACTTGGTGATTGGCACATTTGAGTAAGGGTTAGGAACTTCACCTGTAAAGTGTCCGCCCGTAGAGTGCGGACAGTCCGACGGTGCTACCAGTGCCCTATACAGAAAAGACGGAGATCACTGTAAGTGACCGGACGCTGGTCTCGGTAGGACCGGCGTCCGGTTAGAAGAAGCAGCAAAGACGCTAGCGTCGGTCTCTGACCGGATGCTGGGTCACTTAGTGACCGAATGCTGGAGGGTTGTGTCCGGTCCTGCTGACGTGGCAGCGCACAGGGAAGTCGTCGTGTGACCGGACGTTGGGTGTGTCCGGTCGATCACCCGGTCGTGATTTCTCGCTTCTAGATGCTTACTGGAAACGACCGGACGTTGAGGTCCAGCGTCCGGTCACTTCGCAGTAGCGCGTCCGGTCATCACTTGACCGTTGGGATTGGGCGCTCAGTATTTAAAGAGAGGGGACACGTGGCGTGCATCGCACGACCGGACGCTGGGGTCCTGCATCCGGTCGATATGACCGGAGCGTCCGGTCACCCCGTGTTGTGCCCAGTGAAAGGGTACAATGGCTCTATTCGTGGGGGCTTTCTATTTAAGCCCCATGGCCGGCTCGAGCTCACTCTCTTGACCATTTGCATTGACATGGCAACCTTATGAGCTTAGCCAAAGCCCTCCCACTCATCTCCATCATTGATTCATCGTCTTTGTGAGATTGGAAGAGAATCCAAGTGTATTACTTGAGTGTTTGCATCTAGAGGCACATGGTGTTCGTCTTTCGCTGCGGGATTCGCTAGTTACTCTTGGTGGTTGCCGCCACCTAGACGGCTTAGAGCAGCGAGGATCGTCGAGCGGAGGTTGGTGATTGTCTCCGGCTTCGATCGTGGTGATTGTGAGGGGTTCTTGACCTTTCCCCGGTAAAGAGCCAAAAGGTACTCTAGTGGATTACTTGTGGCTTGTGTGATACTCATCTTGTGTTGGTTGTGAGACGCTCTATTGAGGGTTTGGCGTGTGATGCCAATTAGCGCGTGAACCTCCAAGTGAGTGAATCATCACAACGAGGACTAGCTTGCCGACAAGCAAGTGAACCTCGGTAAAAAATCATTATGTCATCATTTGATTTTGAGGTGATTGGTCTTCATTGTTATTCATTCTTGTGATTGATTGGCTCCTTCCTCGACACGGCAGTATAACCTTCTTGCTCACTCTCTTTATATTACCGCAAACTAGTTGTCAAGCTCTTTAGTGTAGCTAGTTGTGAGAGCTTGTTAGTTTGGTTAGTGTGGCTCTTTAGTTAGCTTTTGAGAGCACACTAACTTAGTATAGTATCATAGCTATTGTGTGGATAGAAACTATATAAACTAGAATTGTGGTAGGTGGCTTGTTTTTTATAGGCTAGCGCAACACTTGCTCCGCCTCATAATTGTCTAACTAGTTTGTTAAGTGTTGTTGTAGAAATTGTTAATAGGCTATTCACCTCCCTCTAGCCATTAGGACCTTACAGATGTGCCCTTGTGGAACTTGAAGCGCGCCATCTCGGAATTTCCCG